TGTTGTTGTTGTTGTTGTTGTTGTTGTTGTTGTTGTTGTTATTATTATTATTATTATTATTATTATTATCTCTATATATGTTATATTATGAAATCATTATATATTATGAAGTAAATGTTCAAATAGAAACATTTTGGCTGTTTTGCCTTAGTTACCTTTAGCAGATCACTTGATGAAATTCTAATAGGATCATATTCAGATTACAATTACAGCACATAATTTGGAGTAAGTGCCATTATTTTATATTATATGTTAACTAAGAAGTATGCTAGAAACACATTGTAGTTCTTTTAAAAAAAACAGGGCGGAGGTTCCAGAAAAAGCAAACATAATATACTGGACTTCAACTTAGAAAAGGTCTCAAGATGAACAAACTGTCCTTACTTACCAAGAAGCTTAGCATATGCTTAACATCTAAAAATAGAGGGGATATCTGGACTGCAAACTACAGATGACAAATCCACTACCTGTAGAGCACATACGACTTCTTACTCTGTCCCAGCTGATCAACGTCACCATTTCTTTCTTTGAGGTCACTGAGTGAGCTCTCTTAGGTGTACTTCACACTCCATAATATTAATGTGTACATTCAGAGCATACAAAGGAGCATATGGGTACACACACCAAAGAGCCAGTGACTCATTGCCATGGATTGTCATGCAATGCATGGAAACATCCATAGATGGAGTCCTCAAGAATTATAAGCAGAACAATATTTACTCATAAAAGGCTCTCTGATGAAAGAACTTTCCCCACAAAGAACCAGACTTTGCTACCTTCTTCAATAACATATTTATAAATGTAATCAGTGGTTCTCAGGTATATCTGGTATCTCATGCCCATCAATCACTATGTCAAAGAATCTGAGTCCACCCATTGTAGACACTTAAAGCCCAGTTTTTTCAAGGACATTTAAAAGTTTACAGGCATCGTGTTTATTATTTATGGTAAGGAACAGAGGATTTGAGGGGGGGGGGCGCAAGTACCTAAAGTTACAGCTAGCAAGCCAAAGGTACAGATGGATAACTAAGATAAGGAGGAGATGACACATGTAGGGACTGAGGGAAGAGTGAATTTTTAGCAATTGTTCTAAAACCGCTGTGTATCAACCTAGATTACTTCTCTATCACGTCAGTAGTATTTGTACCACTGGTCTTTGGAACCTATAGGAAGGAAACAGGGTTTTAGGTTTTTTTAAAAAACAGGTTATTGTCCAGTTCTAGTAATAATGAGCCCAGCAGGCAGTACAGTACTCTAGTCTTGAAGGGTGTAGATGCAAAACTGACACAAATAAGGAGCATGTCTCCACTCAGAGGTTAATAATGTGTCAAAAGATAAGAAAGGGGTGATTAGTCAGATAAGCCCTTCTGTACTCGAGACAAATTCAACTGAAGCCATACCTCGTACAGTATCAATAAAACCGGGCCCCTCTATAGTTACAAAATCTTATCACTTCTCTCAGGCCTTTCTCAAGTATTGCTCCCTTCCTGGAGAAGGAAGGTTCTTCTCACTGTTCATAATCTGGCTCAGGATAATTATTAAACCCACAGGCCAACATAGCTAAACTCAGATAATTCAGTAAAAGAGTATGGCACAGTGGTTAAACTGCAGTACTGCTGTCAAGCCTCTGCTCATGACCTGAATTCAATCCCAAACGGTTCAAGTGGCCGGCTCATGGTTGACACAGTCTTCCATCTTTCTGAGGACAGTAAAATGAGTTTCCAGTCTGCTGGGGGGTAAAGTATTCCTTGTATAATTATGTTGTAAACTGCCTAGAGAATGTTCTAGCACTATGCGGCAGTACATATATAAAACAACAACAACAACAATAATAATAGCATGAGTACATCTCAGTGATTCTCCACAACATTTGTATTTGTTGTTCTGAATAATTTCCAGTTCTTTGTGATTAATGAAAATAGAGATTTGTTTTTGCTATATTTCCAGCATACATCCACAGGGATGGAAATTTAGCAAAGTATGTATGAATTAGGATGGATAAATAGCTTCAGAACCTTTTTATATCTGTCATGTAAAACATTTTGGCTACTAACCTACAGAGAATAAATGAGACAATCTTCTTTTGAATATTCACTAAATCTAAACAATTCCCTTTTTAGTCCAAAAAGTGTATGAGACAGAAAACCCAAACCAATTAAGTATGAAAGAAAAAAAATCTTACAGTATTAAAGAAGCAAAGAATTCTGGGTCAAACAGCCTTAGAATAACATTATTAGATAAAACAAAACAACTGAAAAGCCAGGTCATCTTATTTGAACTTCTTGTTTCATTAAAATTACACTAGTCCAGGAACCAGAGCTTTCACTCTAGAAATAATAATGGTGCAATGCTTTTGGAACAAAAATTTAAAAAAGCATTTTCCTCTTTGTATTGTCTAATTCATACTGTAAACAGTTTCTATCAACTGAATTGAGCCCTTGCAGGTGGGCAATGCGGGTGGGTGAGGTGGCAGTCTGGTGTGGGGAGTGTTAGGGTTTGTGGGGGTGATGGGGGCAGGTGAAGTGGCAGGCTGGCAGGAGTGTTCTGATTTGTGGGAGAGTGATGAGGTGGTTGGGCAAGGTGGTAGGCTAGTAGGGGAGTGTTCTGGCTTACAGGGGAGTGATCGGATGTGTGGATGAGGTAGAAGGCTGGCAGGGGGCAGGGGGCTGGGGCAAGC